TATTTATTATATATATATATATATATATATATATATATATATATATATATATATATATATTATTATCATTTCTCTAATTCAAACTGATTTTTTTATTAAATAAGTTGGAATTTAGTAGAAAATTGATAATTAAAGAATTAATCTTAATTTAAAGGCAATTAAAAAAATATTTAATAAAAAAAAGATTTAATTTAAGATTTTTATACTAAAACATTTATTAAAGAATATTAGATAAATTAAAAGTTTTATAGTTTTAGTTTTATAATAGAATTAATTTTTTTAACATATATATTTATTAAAAATAAATTATTTATTTATTTACTAATATTTTTTATTTTAAAAAAATAAAAATATTTTTAATCTTCTTTGTTTTTTTATAATATTGTAAAAATATATATTTATATGAAATAATAAATTAATAAATTTAAGATTAATTTTTTTTTTATTTATATAAAAAAAAGAATATATTGTATTTTTTAAAATAGACAAAAATAAAATATATTTAATAGATAATAACATAATAATTTTATATATACAAATATAAATTATTATTAATAAATAATTAATATTTTTTTATTAATATCTTAATTATTAAATTATAGGTATTTAAGAATCATTATTTATGTATTGTTTTACATTTTAACTATAATTTTTATAATACCTATTTTTCTTTTTTAGTTTTTAATATATATTTTTTTAATTTATATATAAATGACTTTCTTTTATTAGTAACAGCATTTTTTATAGGTATTACATATTAACCATTATTAAAATTGCAATTCGATTTGCACATATAATGTTATTCGCCCTAATCGAAATTAAAATTAAGATAATAATTTACAAAAAACTTCAAATAATCAATATTTAAAATTAAAAATTTCATTTTAATGTATAATTATTATCAATATTAAATTTATATCAAAATTAAGAACACTTTTTTTAAAAAAAATATGTTTATAAAATACAATTATTATTATTATTATTATTATTATTATTATTATTATTATTATTATTATTATTGTTATTATAAATGTAATCTGTTTAAGGTTTAGTCTTATTTTTTTATTTTTTTCAGGTTTTTAGTAATTATGATGTCTTTTGTCATTTTTTAGATTATTTTATTATTCAAATGTTAATAGGAACTTCCTTTAGATTTATTTTGATTACTTACATGGGGACTATATTTGAAGCTATATATATGTTTTTATAGGTTCAGATTATTCCTAAAAGATTTTTTTTTTATATTTTTTGTTAATGTATTTTTAACTTTTCTAGTGTTATTTCTTATTTATTTTTATAATTTTAAATACATAAGTTATGGCAATAGATATAATTTTTTGATAATTTTGAAGTAATTTTTATGAAGTTATAGAAGAGAAATTTAAAATTAGATTTTTAAAGGATATTGTTATTGTTGTTATATATGGATGTAGAAAAAGTGAATTTATTTATTTTTAAGAAATGCAAATATTTATGTATAAAAGAATAATAATATTACAATTAATTTTATAAGAAGAATTATTGATACTATTTATTAAGAAATGAATATGATAAGGTGAAATTTTACTTATATATATGAATTATATGATTTTCTTAATTTAAAAAAATATTGATGATTTCTTATTAAAAGAAATAATTATTATGTATGTCTTAGATTCATAGTTTTAATAAGATTATAATTTAGTTATTTAAAAAATTTATATTATAAATATTCTTGATTAGAAAATTTGTATTATAACTAACTATTAAATAAAATAATATTTAAAAACATAAATAAATTTTTAAATTATAATGTAAAAATAAAAAAATATAATAGTAATTTAATATAAAAAAAGAATAAAAAAATAAAAATAAATAATATTTGATAAAAAAATTAATAAAAAATATACATATATATATATATATAAATATATATATATATATATTAATTTATTATATAAAAATTATTTTTATTTTATTAAAATATATAAATTAAATTTTATTTTTATTCAAATAAATAAATTATTTAAAATAAATAAATATATTAATATTAAAATAAATATATATATACTTTTTAATTAATGAAAATTAAAATAAATATATTAAATTAAAGAAATAATACTTTATTATTTTTATTATAATATAAAACATTATAATAATTATATATGTATTAATAAAAAATTATTTTTAATAAAATATATTTTCTAATAAAAAAGAATTTCGAATACCCAAAATATTTTTTTAATTTAAAATTAATTTATTTTTATATATTTGTTTATAAAAAAAATAATATTTAAATTATATAAAATACAGTATAGTTTACTTAATTAATTAATTAATTAATATAAAAAATCAATATTTGAATAATAATATAATAAAAAATTAAAAAAAAAACAATCATTTTTTTTTTAAACTGAATGAATTAATAATAAAGTCTTTCTTCTTCTGAATATTCATAAATAAAATTATTAAAAAATTAAAATACATAACTCAATTAAACAACTTCCTTTGTTGATATAAAAATATTATAAAAAAAAACAAATAAAATTCCTATTTAAAAATAATAATATTAATAAAATTCATCTTAATTAGTATAAAATGACAAAAATATTAAAGAGATTTAATTAAATAAAAAGAATGCTTTTAATGATATTCGAGAAGATGTAATGATAAAAAAAGTTGAAAAGGCCCTTTTTAAATTACAATAAATAGAAGATTAGCGATATGCTTTAAAATTTTTAGGTTTAAAATTTTTTTTATAAAATTTAGCAAAGTTTACATAAGCCTCAATGAGGAAAAACTTAAGTTTAAATCATAAATATTTAATAAGAGATATATCATTAGCCGAAAATAATTCTAAAAATAATTTAAATTATTAAAAACTTTAATAATATTTAAAAAAAAATCAAGAAGATGAAAATTAGAAATATAATTTTTGGTAAAAAATTATTTTAAAATACCACTTTTAATCCTTCAAATACATTTCTTATTATTTGGGATTTTCTACAAGTTTTTATGTAATTTTGTTTTTTATTCAATTCCATTATAAATTGCTTTTAAGAAAGGCTTAGGTTAGTTTATGTCAGATTTTTTATTTAATACAGGGATTATTTTCTTTATTTTGGATAATTTTATTAGCTTAAACACTTCTTATTTCGATAAAGGATCTCATGTATAGGATAGACATACTATATTTCAAAATTATATTAAAAATAAATTTATTAATGATTTTGTTTCAAATATACCGGTTATTATAGATTATTTTATAATATAATTAAATGGTTTTTGGAGTTATATAATGATTATTTAATATTTAAAATTAAATAGAATTTCTCTTATTATAAGAAAACTCGAAGAAATCTTTCATTTAACTCCTACTTAATAATAATTAGTTTCTTTAGTTAAACTTTTAATAACAGTGCTATTTATAGCTCATATTTTTGCATGTATATGGATTTTTATAGCAGTTGATGAATGTGTTTAATCATGGATTATAAAATAATAATATGAAAATAAAGTTTGGTAAGAATAATATTTACTGGCAATTTATTTCTCAACTGTTACTATGATTACAGTTGGATATGGAGATGTTTTGCCTGTAAATAAAAATATATATAAATATAAAAAAGTAAAAATGTAAAAAATATTTTTTACGAAAAGACAAATGCGAAAGAATATATATTGTGCATTATTACTATGTTAATCTCATGTGGAGTCTTTGCTTATGCAGTAAATTAAATTGGTAGTATTTTTGAATTATTGGGTAGATAAGATAAAGAATTAAAAGAAAATATGTACAGGATTAGCAATTATATGTATATTAAAAAAGTTTCTAAAGAATTATAATACGAAGTAAGATAATACTTATAATATTATTGGAAAGAAGAATAAAATAGGTAAAAAAAATATATATATATATAAATATGTATATATATATATATTTATATATATTTTGTATATTAAATTTTTTTATATTTCTAAGAGATACAAAATAAGAAGAAACTATAATTAATTAATTAAGTGATAAATTAAAAGAATAATTGGTATTAGAAGCTAACAATTTAGTATTAAAAGATTCAGTAATATTCAAGAATAATTTTAGTGAAATATTAATAAAAAAAACTGTACCTTTAATAAATGAAAGTAGAATAACACCTGAAGAAATAATAACAATTGAAGGTTTTTTAGATGATTGCTGTATTTTTTTCATTGAAAAAGGAGAAATAGAGGTATATATAGATTAATATAGCGAAGCAAAAATGTATACTTAATAAATATAAAAATTAAAATCTGGAGATGCATTCGGAGTCGTTAGTTTTTTTACAGGAAACACTAGAAAATTGTCTATTAGATCATTAGATTTCACAACTCTATTATCAATAAAAAGATAAGATTTTTTAAATTTATTAAAAGATTTTCCTGAAGATTATGAGCAATTTGTCTTTATAAAAGACTAATTATAACTAAACGGAAATTTCAAATAAATAGGTATTATATAAAATATAAATATATTAATATATGTAAATTTAAATATCTATGAAATATTTTTATTATTACATAAAATTGTATAAAATATATATATATATATTTATTTATATTTAATAGGTACTAGATGTTATAGTTGTAGAGATTTCAAACATATGTGCGATAATTGTCCTTTTATTCATTATTCACCTAAGAAATTTTTATTATTAAAAAGAATATTTAGAAACATATTTTAAAACAGGAATAATTTATATAAAAGAAAGCATAGATATAAAAAAAACGCTAAAAAATATTTGTAAGAAACATAAGAAAAAACTGAATTAATATAATAAAATTATTCTATTATAATTGATTAATTATTTGGGTATATAGATTTTATGGAAGATACTCTAGAATCATCTGACGAAATAGAATTACAAAGTTTATCTGAATCTTCTGAAAATTCATTAGTTTTATAAAAAAATGTTTTTAAATAACATAAAAAATAATAATATGATAAAAAATAAGGCCCAAAACAATTTTAAAACGCTGTTAAAAAATTAAGTACAGTAATTTAATTATAATAAGAATTCAATTAATAATAATAAAATTAGTAAAATAAAATTGATAATAACGACAAAAACTTTTTTAGTTAAATTTCAGGAAGATACGAAAGAATAGAATCTAATAGAACTCTAAGTAAAAAACTTAGTCAAAAATAACAATAAAATTAGAGTACGTCCTAAGATTTGTTTGAGGAAAGAGTTTTGGGTAAAAAACTTAGTGAAAAAATAAAATAGGAAGATAAAAAAGAAAGAACAAATACTTATTCGAACAATTTTAATAAATAACTAAGTAAGTTAAATACAATGAAAAATAAACCTAAAATAATCTCTAATTTAGTTAAATAATAAGAGTCTATAGATTATTAATCTAAAGGAGGAGGTTTTGATGAAGATTTATTATCGAAAAAAGTGTTAAATATTTTAACTAAAAACTAGATGAAGATTTAAAAAAATATGAAAACTTTAAACTTATAAGAAGAAGAAAAAGAAGAAGAAGAATAAGATTAATCTTTTGTAATATAAGGCTGTAATAATAAAGAAGATATTTTTTCTATTGAAGATTTCGATATTGGGAAATAGTTTAAAAATTATTTCCCCAATTTTAATTATGGAGTTGTTTTATAGAAAATTTAAATATTATATAATATTAGAAATTTTGACGCGAAAAATTTCGATAAAAATAAAACTGCTGTATAGTCTATTGTTAATTAAAATAATGAATATAAAAGGAAAAATAAAAAAGGAAATTATAAGTTTGCTAGTGGATAAGTGGCTAATAATCTCATTAAAAAAATTCAGGAAGAAGAAGAAAGAAAATAATAGAAAGAATTATTCGAATAGGAAAGTAGATCTTCCAAAATCGATATTTCTTCTTCTTAATTTAAAGGGGAAGTTTAGGAAGAAACTTCCAATTTTTATACCAGAAAAAATAATAAAAGAAGCGGAACTTCTTCATTTAGACTTTTAGGATTTAACGCGGATAAAAAAAAATTGAGATTTAAAGGTTTTAATAATGAAAACTTAGTTTAAGAAAGTGAAATACAAGAAGAAGAAGAAAATAATTAAAAATAAATATCAATTGCTTAATTAAGTGAAGAAAAATAATAAAATTCTAATAACATCAATAATAATAATACTTAAAGTTATATTAATAAATTTGATATAACTTTTAATTAATTACCATCAAGTATGACTATTGAAGAAAATGGAAAAATTCCGTCTTTTAGATCATTTCCTTAATCTATATTTTTATTTTAGAATAAAATTTAATGATTATTTATTTTAAAATATATTCAAATTTATAATTAAAATATGTTTTGTTTTTTTTAAACAAAATAAAAAAAAGTTATATATATTTTATAAAAATAAAAAAAAAAAAAAATGTCAAGTAAAAAAGAAGGAAAAGCCTAAGAATAAAAATAACCATAAAAATCCCCAGAATAAAAACTTGAATAACCAAAACCTGAATAGGCAAAACTAAATGAATAAAAATAGGAAAAAACAATTTAAAGTAACTAAAAATAAGAAAAAAACAAAAAGGAAGTGGAAAATAAACCTAATTTAAATAATAGTTAAATTACAGAAAGCAAAAGTGCAATGAAACATTAAAATATAGAAAAAGGAAGTAATTTAAAAAAATAAATTCAAATATAAGGTATTAATAATAAAGGATAAGGAAATAAATAATAAGCTGATATGTTTTCGATATTTGATTAAAGTATAAAAGCAGATAATTAAGGGAATGAAGAAAATGTATAACCTTTACCTACTGATGATCCTAAGGAAATTGAAAAAAGAAATAATTAAGTATTTTTTATATTTATATGTAAATTTTTATTTTATTTTTAATTATAGGCTGATATGCTTAAGAAATATTTAGATTATACTGGTATTTCAATGGCTTTTTAAATTATTTATGCAGAAGTATTAGCTAAAAAAATTGCACATGAAAATGCTTTTTCTTATACAGCTATGAGATTGAGATAAATAGGAAATGATTTAGCTACTATATAAAATGTAATATTATATATAAATAAATATATATATATATATAATAGAATGCCAAAAAATGAAGTTTTTAAAATTTAATAAATAAATCTTATAAATAATTTATGTATTATATATTTTTTATTAATCAAACATTAGGTAATGTAATAAAGCAATCTATTTTTCTTTTTTGTTAAAAAAATTAAAATATACAAAAAACAATTTTTTTTTTTTTTACTAAATTAATGTTTGTAATAATTAAGGACTTAATTTTTCGATTATAACTTATGTTTTTTATGAATCATCTGTATAATTAAATGCATCAGGTGCTTATTTCATAATTATTGCCACGATTGTACCTAATTATTATTATGTTAAATTTTATAATTTTTTAACAAATTCATTTTATAAATCTTCTTAATTTTCTTATGTGTTTTCAGGTTAATAAACACTAATTTTTATTTATTTATTAAAAAGAAAAAAAAAAACTAACTATATTTTTTCTTCATCTTTATCTTCTTTTTTTGCTGTTTCTGTTTAAATTCCTCCTCCACCACCTCTTCCTGTATATATATATTAAATTATAATATTTTTTTTATTAAATTTTTTACTGCTTGGAACAACAATATTTGGTAAATAATTTTTTATTAACTTTTTAAAATGCTTATCTAATTTATCTGCTTATTTCCATATCCAAGAACCTTAGGAATTGTATAATTTGCAGTTATCCCATATTAATTATGTATCATCTAAAACTTCTTCTATCCTAATATATTAATTTAATTATAATTATTATTTCACAGTCCCTAAGTCCATTGGTCTTTTTATTATATCTGGATAATCAAGTAAACCCAATGCTATTTTAATAGTAATACTTTTTTTATTTTTTAAAAAAACCTTAATAATCTACAGGCTTTCTAAATTCTAATGAATCTGGACTATCTATTAAATATTATAAAACTGTATTTAATTTTTTAAAATCATCTTTTTTAATTTCTGTATCTCTAGAATAATATATTAGTTTATATATTTATTTAATCTTTACGTTGTTAATTTTAATGACGAGTATCTTTATTTTGCTGACATATTTTTTTATTTAATTTTTTTTAAATTATATTTATTAAATTAATAAAAAAATATATCATATAAATATTAAAAATAATAATAATATATTAAATTTATTAGAAGTATTTTTTTTAACTTAAAATAAAATAATTACAGTCTTATTTACAATTATTTATTTAAAAATAAAAGATTTATTATTGTCATATATCTATTTTCTAAAAATAGTATTTATTAATATAATTATTATAAAATTAATATAAATAAACTTTATTTGAACATATAAAAAAATAATTTTAATTTGAAAAAGTATAAGTATTAACAAAACTGATATTTTATTTTAAAATAATAATAAATATAATATTATTTTTATTAAATTTTGTTTTTGCAAATGTTTTGAAGATAACTTAATAAAAAATTATCTTTATATATTAATAAATAAAATATTTAAATAAATATTTTGGTTTTTATATATACTAGAAATAAAATTGTTATCAATACATTTGTAATTATATTTTATATAATATTTTTAAATAATTATAAATATTTATTTTTTTGTTTCTTACAACCAATTTTTTTGTTTAAGAGTTTATAGTTCTTTAAATTATATATTTTATTTATTTTTATATTAATTTTTTTATTATTTACTTTTAATTTATCTATATAATAATTATTTTTATACATATAGATTAATTAAAAAATTAAGACATAAATTCGTGTTATTCTTAATTTTACAACTATATAAAAATAAATTATATTTAATTGAAATTTTTATTTCGGATATTTATTTATATCTTTCATATAAATATATAAATATATAAATAATATAAAATAAAATATTTTTTATTTTTATTTTTATTTATTAATTTTTTTATATCTAATTTTTTAATATTTAAAATAGTATATTTTTTTAAAACAAAAAAATAAGTTTTTATTTGTTTTCATCTTTCATTTTTTATTTTATTTATTTTCATTAAAAATTTTATATCAGTTCTAAAATAATAATATATTTTTTAACTTAGAATTTAGAAAAAATCTTATATATTTTTTTATTTTATTCTCTTAATAAATTATATTTACCTTATTATTATTAAAAATAATATAATAATAAAATTTATGATGAATTAATTATTGATTTATATAAATTAAAATAAAATATAAAAATAGTTAAAATTGATCTACTATAAATTTCTTTTAATAATTAATAATAAATTAAAACATTTTTAAAGAAAAGAAATAATATTAATAAAAAAAAAAAAAATGAACCAAAAACAAAAATACATTGAAAAATTCCAAAAAATAAAAACAAAAAACATCGACATAATCGGAGTCTGTATAAAAGAAGGACAAAACCTAACTGGTACTGAACTAGCTCCCGATTGCTTACGAAAAAGTGGCTTAAATTTAGTTTTAGAATTTTTAGGCTGGAAAATAAACGACCTAGGAAACATCAACTTAGAATCTTAAGACGAAGGATAAGAAGTACATACTAAAATCGAAAATAAGACTAATTAATCATAAGATGATAAATAAGACTTATAACTAAAATACTACACAAATATGAAACATTCAGAAACAATAGGATAAGCATGCTAATAATTACATGAAAAAGTAAAATAAAGTTCTCAAAAAAGTAATTTTCCGTTAATTTTAGGAGGAGATCATGGAATAGCTACTGGTACAATTTCTGGAATGTTAGAAACTTATGAAAATTTGAAAGTTATATGGATAGATGCACATGGAGATATTAATTTACCAGAAACTTCGCCTAGTGGAAATTATCATGGAATGCCTGTGGCGCATTTATTGGGATGGTTTTAGAAAAAAGTTAAAGGATTTGACTGGCTAAAATTTAAATTAAAACCTGAGAATATTGTTTTTATAGGATTAAGAGATCTAGATGAAGAAGAAAAGGACTTATTAAATAAAAATAAAATTAAGTGTTTCTGTATGCACTAAATTGATTAATTTGGAATTGGAGAAGTCATGAAATAAGCTTTTAAATACTTAAAAATAGATGAAGATTAGAATTCGGCTTTACATTTAAGCTTTGATATTGATGCAGTGGATCCTTCTTTTGCTCCTGGTACAGGTACAAAATCTAAGGGAGGATTAACTTATAGAGAAGCTCATTATATTTGTAGAAGTGCGGCGGAAAGTGGAAAATTAGTTAGTATGGAATTGGTTGAAGTTAATCCCAATTTGGAAGAAGTTGATCATCATTTATTACATTTACATGGAGATGATAAAAATATTAAAGGGTCTAAAACTGTTGGATTGGCTATTGAGTTAATTAAATCGGCTTTAGGATATACTTTGCTTTGAAATTATTTTTGTTTTTTGCTATTTTTTATTTTTATATAATGTTTTATTTTTTTTATTTCTATGGTTTATTTTTTTTCTAATTTATATTTTATTTTATTAATCTTTTTTAATTAAAAAAAAAAAACAAAAAAAATATTTATATTTAATATATTTAATTGAATAATTTTTATTCTGAAATATATATTTTAATTATTTAAAATAAAAAGTTTTTTATAATATAATAAATAAATTTTAATATATAAAAATATAATTAATTAAATATTTATATTATTAGTTTTAAAATTAATAATTAAAAATAATATTTTAGGATTATTAATATCATTATAAATCTAAATTTCATATGTATTTAACTTTAAAGTTTTCTTTATTTAAAATAAATAAATTAATATAAAAAATAAAAAGATATATATTAATTATAAATATATTTTATATAATTTTGTTTTAATAAAAATTAATAATAATTTATAATTTTACTATTATAGATTTTTATAAAAAATTAAAAATTTTAATATATATATTATTATTTTTAATTAATCGAAATATTATATATAATATTTATATAAAAAAATAAATGAAGATTTAATTTATATATAATATTTTTTTTATTGTTAAAAATAAAAAAAAAAAATACTACAATAACAATTAATATTTTTATTAAATAAAATAATTATTAATTTAGAAAATCATTATTTTTCTTAAGCTTAATCACTATTTTTATCTGGATTTGATTTTTGTGAATCATTATTAATTTTTTAATATCTAATTTATTTCTATACCATAATCTTTAATAAAATTAGCAAAACAATAATAGCAATTATGAAAAAACAAATAACTACAATAGCCCAATCAGGTGTTATTTACTATTCATTTTTACTTTATTTAAAGAAGCACATAGATTCATAATAAATAGAACTAAGTGAATTAAGCTTCTAAATAAAAGTATCATATCGACATTAAATATCTAAAGTTCCACATATGCATTAATAAACACCATTATATTTAACCATGAAGTAATCATAATGATTTTATACATCATGTCTTAATTCTAAAATTATACTAGAACTAAAAGGTGGATATTCTTCTACACAATTAAGTGCATCTTTTAAGCCTTTAAGATACTAATTTTAAATACATTAATAGGAAGTTAATCCAAAAGCTTCAAGTACAATTGAAAACGATAGTTAGTCTAGAGATTAAATTTAATATTTATAAGATAGAATACTTTTTTTAAATTAATCTAATGTTTCTAGTGTATTTTAAACAAAAGATGTGACTTTTAATTATTTTTATTTTTCGGTTCTGAAATATTTTAAATGATGTAGTAAATTTTGTAAAAAAAGGAATTATTTTTTTTATTTTTAAGTTAATTATGAAAACTACTTAATATTTAAGATTAATTCATTTATTTACTATAAAAAAAATTCCACTGTAAATTTCGATTTTGATATTTATTTATATGAGCAAAATTCATCTATAGCTTCTTCAAAATCTTCATTTATTTGAGAAAAAATATCGTCTTTTTCATAAACTTATGGACTTTCCATTTCTTTCAAAAAAATACAATCATTATGTAAATATTCAAATTATATAGGAATAATTTTCAAGTCTTGGTATAATAAAGGATCAAACTATTAAATTTTGGTGTCTCCAAGATTATAACGTGCTTAAATTATTTCAGAAACAGCATTTTTTTTTTATTAGTTTTAGTTATATAAAGGTGGATATAAGGAATAAAATTATGCTTTTATAGAATTTGTATGTCTTTATTATATTTTTTTATATATTATATTTTTTATTTTTTATTTACAAGTCTTTTTCAACAGATTATAAGTCTATTATATCACTTTCTTTATCATATGAATCTGGTAAAAAACCTTATTTTACTATGTAATCTTCACGTATGTATTCTCCTAATTAATATTATTGTAATAAGCCTATGTTTGATAAGTCTTATAAAGGAGGAGGAGTAGGAGTTCCGTTTAGTACATATGATATTAAGAAACTCAATTCAGAATTTTAAGGAGGTTACTATTTTGTTAGTTAAATTAAGATATTTAGAAATATCAAAAAAGACTTTTTTTACATTCTTTATTTGTTTTTGTAAAAAAAAAAAAGTTATTTTATTTTAAAATTATTTATTAACTTTTTTTATTAATTATAATTTATATTGTTAATATTATTTTTTCTTTCTTTTTAATAAATAAAATATTTAATATTATTTTTAAATCACAAATATTTTTAATTTTTTTATATTTTTTTTTTTTTATTCTATTCTATTTCATTTAATATATATTTTATATTTTAAAAAAAAAAAATATTCACACCACTAGTATTAAAAAATTAAATTTTATTTATTCGAATAACTATATATATATAAAAAATAAAAATTAATTTAAATTAAAGTTTAATATAATGACATAAAAAATTCATTTTTTATTTATATATAAAATTTTTCATTATTTTTAAAATTAATTTGGATCATCTTTAATTGCTTATATTAAATATTCTTTATTTTTGTCTTAATTTTTTGCTTGCCATAAATATATATTAGTATTAATAATACCAATTTAAGGTCCTTTTGCTTATTTGAATATATTTTTAACCTCATTACCCTTTATTTTATATATTATAAATAAAATACAAAATAAAAAACTTACATCAATTAAATTTTTCATTTCAAATAAAAGCTACATCTTATTTTAAAAAATAAACTACTCTAACAAATTATATTTTTAAACAAATTCTTATTAATATTTCAATATATCATTTAAAAAAGCTACATAAAAAGCCATTTGCCATATATTTCCTTATTTTTTAATAAGCAAGGCGATATTATTGAATTCATAATCAAAATTTTTATTAACAATTTGTTAAAAAACTTAAGCACTTTCACATACTGTAATAATAATAGTACAAATTTTTACAGTTTTATCAGGAAACTATGAAACATAAAAATATATAAAATATATGAATATATATAGAAATATATATATAAAAATATATATAAATATATATAAATATATATTCAATATATATATATATTTAAATTAAATTAATATATTATATCAATACATTTATATAATTTTTTAAAATAAATATATAATTATACTTTTAATTAATCAAAAACTAAATTTTATACCACAGAAATAGAATTTTTTCCTTTTTAAAAGTTAATTATGTAAAAGGAAAGGCTATACAACTCATAATAAATATTAATTTAATATCTTATTATGAATAATTATTTTTAAAGATTTCTTTTTATAAAATTATATCCATATGTTAAATAGCTAATATAGACATTTAATAAGATTCTTATTATTTTTTTAAATAAAAATCTTAATTTTTTATTTCATCGCAATTTTCATTTATTTCAAATACTACAGGCCATAAATTATTTTCGTATATATATTTTAGACCTAAAATACAATTTTAATCTAAAATAATTTTTGTAAGTTCTGTTCTTATTCTTTCTTTACTTACTTTAGATGAAAGATTTGACTAAAATAAATATATAAATATATATATATATATATATATATATATATATATATATTTACTTAAAAATATAGATTAATATAGATAAATATATATATATATATTATTTTATATATACATATATATAATATTTTATTATTTTCTATTTTTTATTTATTACTTTTATTCTTTCATCTTTTAACGCTTTTATTATCTCTGGAGATATTTAATATTAAAATTTAGATGCAAATCTAAAAGTTCTTAAAATTCTTAAAGGATCATCTAAAAATGTCTTTTTTATTTAATTTTATAAATATATTCATTTTTAAATAAATAATAATATTAAAATTAAAAATATATTAATTAATGTATGTTTAATTAATTTTAAAAATAACTTATAATGGTTCTAAAGGAGTTCTTATAAATTTATTTTATAAATCATTAATACCTTTTCCTGTAAAATCTTCTATTTTATTTTAATTTATATTATAAAATAAAGCATTTATAGTTAAATCTCTTCTTTCTGCATCTTACAAAGGTGTACCAAATTTCTTTTTTTAAAATACGTAAAATACATAAAATACATAAAATAAAATAAAAAAGATTATTACAATATAAGGAATTCTAGAATTTTCAGTATATTCTTCACCTCTTAAATTAACAAAATCTACGTCAAATCCGAAAATAGAACATGTGGCAGTTTACAAATGCTTAGACTATTCCGGATTTGATTTAATAATTCCGATTTTAGATATTAAATTTTATTAACCATTCTCTTTTATAAATTCAGTAAATTAATTTAAAAAATCTTCTCCCATTAAATTATCTAATGCAATATCTATATCATGACATTCTTTTTTTAAAATCTATATAAATTTAAATATATATATAAATAAATAAATATATAAATATATAAATATATATTTATTTTTAGTATTTCTACTTTATCTCTAACCCATCCTCCTGCTATTCGCATTGTTACATCTATATATTTTTAATTTATAAAATTCAAAAGGTAATTGAACAGTTATTTTTCTTTATCTGTTATTTATTCTGATATATCTGGAGCTATTATTTCCATTTTTTGTTTGTTTTAAATTGAAAAATGATATAGTTAAGGTTTTTATATTAAGATGTTTCTGTTTAATATTTTATTTTTATTTAATAAACTTTTTAGTATAATTTTATTTATATTGTTTTAAAAAAGCATTTTATATTTTTAATTTATTTTAATATTGAAATCTATTTTTTTTTTATTTTTTCTAGTTGTGTTTTATTTAAGAAAATTTTTATTATTATAAAATATATATAAATATAAATTTACTATATAATAAACTTATTAATAATAAAAATAATTTAAAATAATAAATTAAATTAATTTTTTATATAATAAATAAATATTTATTTTCAAAATTAATAAATAAATATATTTTATTTAAACTTTTAATATAATAATTTTATTCTATCTGATTAAAATGTCTTTCAATAAATTATTTTTGAAATTAAATCATATAAATAAGAATTTCCTTCTTATAATATCATATTCATAATAGCAGCTAATTATTATTTACAATTAACAAGTTATTTTTCAATTTTATTATAATACTTATTATTTTTCAATAATTCTTCATTTTACCTTTTCATTTCATCTAATGTTTACCTATCTTAGCTATAAATAGTGATTATTTTTTAATAATTTTCCATTAAAATATTGTATTTATAAAAATCTACTTAATGATTATCTGTATTTCTTTATTCAATACTTTAATTATTAAAATCTTCATAAATACAACTTTAAAATTCATTATTTGTTATATTAAGATTTTATTTGGTTTAATTATTTTCTAATTTTTTGTATGTTTTTTTTTTTAATTTAAAAATAAAAAAAAGATAACGTTTTTAATTTTTTTTACATGTATCATATTAAGGAACTTATTATTAGCTTTAATTTATCATTTCTTAAAATTTTATTATCCTTTGAGAACATTATTAATTATCTATTATTAAATCTTATATTTTTTGATGTAATAAAGAATTCTTTTGTTTATTTTTTAATAAAAAAATATGATTAAAATACATTATTTTTTAATTTTTGAATCTCTTAGTCTTTATTTTATAATTCTTTGTTATATTAATCTTTTATTTTTTATATTTTTATTTATAATTTCTCTTCTATTTATGATGCTTATTTGTTTAATTATTCTAATTTTTATTTAAAATCTTCTTTTTGAGCTTTCACTTATTCGTATAAAAATTTGTAATTTTAAGCTTCTTATTAAAGTCTAATAATTTATTGGCTTAAAAGTTAATATTCATCTTTATTTTGTTCAGTAAAAGCAATGTTTTTAATTTAATGAGAAATATTGTTTTCTGGAAATTTATTTTTATTGTAATTTATATATATTTTTTAATTTTCATTCATATTTTTTTTTATTTTCTATTAACAAAAAAATTATTTACTTAATTATAAAATATAAGAAAATTAAAAATAAAAATTTAAAAAAATGAATAAAGATGAAGAATAAGAAAAAATATTTAAATAAAAAATGGAAATAATATAAAAAATAGAATAAAATTTAACAAAAATAAACCAAAAATATACAAATGGTCAATTATAAATAGGTTATGCAACATTTTAAAGGGATAACTTGTGTCATTAATTAAATCCAAAATCATTTTAAGTAGGCCCTTCATTTCTATAAGTAAAAATAGAAAATAAAAAAATGGAATTGGTTAAAATAGAAAAAGAATAAAAATAATTTATTTTAAATGAAAAATAATATGGATATGAAGAATATGAAAAACTAGAAGAAGAGGAAAGCTTAGAATATTAAAAAAGTAAAGATAATGATGCTATTAGTTAGTTAGGGATTTCATATCCAACAAAATCTATTTAATATGCACAGGAAGATTTTTATGAATGTTTATAATATATAATTAATGTTACAAATTTATTATAAGAATTAAAATAGTAATGAAGAAAAAAACACTGCGAGATACATATCAATATAATACATATTTTAGTAATTTATTTACTTTTAATAAAAAATATCTAATTTAAAATTAAAATTAATAAATAATTAAAAATAAAAAAAAATTATACTTATAAAAAATATATATATATATATATATATTTATAAATATATATTTATATATATATTTATTTATATTTATATACATTTATTTTAAATTCTTATTTTTTAATAATTTATTTTATATTATATTACTATTTAAACTTATATTTTAAATTTTTATAATACTTTTTTTATATTTATTTTTATTTATTGATTTTATATATAAATTTTACAAATTTTTTATTAATTTAAAAATAAAACATTTTAATATTTTTATTTACACATAATAATATTATTTTCAAAGTACATTTTAGTCAAACAAATCTTTAGCATAAACAAAATCAGGTACAAATTAATTTTAAGAATCGAAAATTTTTTAAAGAAACTAAATAAACCAAATATCAAAAAAGTCACTGAAATAACATTCCATTTCCAAAATTTTTTTTTGAATATTCTCTAAATTCAAATTCTCAAAAAAATTATTTCCAAAAATTAAAAACTTTCCTAAAATGCGCATAATTTATTTATATTCTTTATTTAAATTTCCCTTTATATTTTCTTAAAATAATTATTATGGAAATATTTTTAATAATTTAATTAAATTTTTTGGTAATTTTTCTACAATTTTATATTCTTCCTTTAAAGTTTAGATTTTTAATTATTATACAAACTATTACCTTTAAACCGCATTTTTATACATATTTGTATTTTTTGAAGTTCCACTATTTAATTCGGACATATTTTTAATTTATTAAGTCTCATTTACCCTCAAAGGACTAACAAAAAAAGATAAATCTTCAAATTAATAGTCTTCTAAAATATTAAAAGCTTTTATGATTTCTTTTGCAGTTTTATACATATGCATTTTTTATTATTTATCTTTTGTTTTTTTCAATTCTTCTACACAATGAATTTATTTCATTTCTTATTACAAATATTCGAAATTAATTCCTATATCTTCCTCATTATTATTTGTGATTATATTTAATTTAGATATTTTTTTTAAATTATGTTCTCCATTTGTAATAATAAATGTATTATTTTAATAGTTTTATTTATTTTTAAAAAAACTTTAAATAGATTCAGTAGAGAAATATTTATGTTATAATGCTTCAAAAGCAGACAATCTATTTTAAGGTAATTACTTTAATAATTTTTATAATAAATCTAAAGTATAAATATCCATTTTTTAATATAATTCTTATTCAAAATTAATATTACAATCTTTATTTTTTTATAAAATTTAAATAAATTATTATCCTGTAAAAATATGTTATCCTGTCAGTCTATATATTAAAAAATATGTAATATTTATTTAAAATAATATATTTATATTTTTATATATTTTTAATCAAAAACAATAAATGAAACAAAATTCCTAACGAAAACATGTCACATTTCTCGTTATATCTATTATTATCTTATTAATTTTATAGAATTTCTGGTGCAACATATCCAGGAGTACCTACATGTACAAAAATATATTTTTTATTTATAAATTAAGCAAATCCAAAATCAATGATTTTTACAATAAAACTATTCTCGTTATTTTAAAGCATTATATTTTATAATTTTATGTCTCTATGCATTATTTACTTAGAATGTAAATATATTAATCCGTTTAATATTTAACGCATTATTTCTTTTATGAATTCCTACAACTACTTAGGGTCTTCTATTTTATCTATTTATTTTTATATAGTATTTTCGAAATCTAAAAGGTCGAATACCAAATAATATCCCTCGTTATCTTCATATACTTGGTATAACTTAATACAATTTTCATGTTCTAATTATCTTAAAATTAGGATTTCATTCATTACGGCTTCTACTTAATTTTATATTGTTTCTGAAGGTCTTTTACATAAAAATTTAACAGCATAATAATTTTCGTCTATAGAATTTTTTCTTTTTACTTTATAAACCTATATTTATATTTTTTTTACGATTATTATTTTATATTTTTTTTTACTTTAGCATATTTACCTTTTCCAATTTTTTTTAAAACAGTAAAATCTTCAAAAAAAGTTACAAAAAACATTTTATATTCAAAATATTAAACTAAATTTTACATTACTATATTTTCAGCATAATATTCGATTTTCAAACCTAAATCATTAATTATTTTGAAGCCTATTTTTGTCTATTCTTAATTATTTTAAGTTTGTTTATATATCCATTGTATTTTCCAATCATTTTTTAAGTTTATAATTTTCTTTGGTATTGGTTCATATGGTTCCTTTTTTTTTTTATTTATTAATTTTTTTTTTTATTTCTTTGAAGATTTAATAAATACTTTACAAATAATAAATTGCTAATCTTTTGTTATGTAAGCATATAAATTTTATTTAAGACCTAAAAAACGCTTTTTTGTTATTCTTAATTCATAAATGCATTTTGAATAATCAAAATATTTTCTAGTTTAAAAATCTTCTAATAATTTAGTTTTTTTAATCATTAAAATATATAAATAAAATACTTCTAATGAATTTTTGTTTTTATTTATTTATATTATTTGTTATATTATAAAAGAAAAAATATATATATTTAAAAAATAAATAAAAATATTAATATTTTAATTATTACTTATTTAATTATTTTAAATTAAAAGAAATAAAAAGATTTTATAAATAATTAATCATTTTATCAATATATAAAATTACTTGATTTAATTAAGCAAAAAAATATATTAATTAATTTTTTATAATTAGCTAGATTTTATTCTTTATTATATTTTAAAAATATTTATTTTAAAAGAAATAAAAATTATTTAATTTTTTTTCTTTTAAGAAAATATTTTAAAATAATTGTAATATAATTTAAATACTATATATTTTGAAAATTAAATCTTTTTATTTTACAATATAGTACTTTATAAATCATATTTACAACTTTTTTAAAATTTATTATTAAAACAAGCTTAAAATAATATAATCATACATTAATAAATATATAAATTAAGAAATATCAATTTATTTTATCAAGTATAAATTATTAAATTTTTCATAAATAAGATATTATGTTTATATAAATAAATATTTTTTATAAAAAGATAAATTATTTATTAAAATTATACTATTAAGTACTAATTGACTAATTTAAATGATTTCATATACAAAAAAGAAATATTTTTATTTAGTTAAAGTTAAATAGATATTTTTTTAAATAATTTAAATTTAATTATTTTTTGATTAAATATTTATTTTTGATAAAGTTTTTTGTTTATAAACTGTTTATTATTAATAATCAATATTTAAAAACCTAAGTTTTTGATTTTATGTGTATAAAATTATTTTTCTAAGATTATGCTTTAATACATTACTTATTTACTTTTGAATAAAAAATATGAGATTAAGACAAATATATTTCTGTAAATTAAAATAATATATTGTTTATAGTCAAATATTAATTGTGTCTATTAGATAAATATATTAATTTATATTAAAAAAGAAGAAATATTAAATTAATTATATTGAATTTAAACAAAAAAAATATTTAATAGTATTTTTGTAAATATCATTTATTAATTAATTTTAATTTTTTTAATATATATTTTTAATTTATTAAATTATTTTTTAAATATCTTTAATTTTATTTCATATTTTTTAAATTATATTTATATATTTTTTTTTTAAATTTTTATATAATATAAGTTACACTTTCAAAGATATATACAAAGAAAAAACACTTATCCTTAAAAATTAAAAGAATAATAGTTAAAAAATGTTACATTTTATATATATTTTATTGGGTTACAAGAGTTTAAAACAATTTAATCTTTTTTATATTTATTTTTTTATTATTAAATGAAAGATATTAAAAAAATGATTATTAATGGATTGTGTAAAAAAAATAAAAAATTATATAATATTATTTTTAATTAATGTCATATTTTTTTAACTGCTTTTATTTATATTTATTTTAATTAGATTATATATTTAAAAATATATAATTATACAAAATATATTAAAATAGAAAAAAAAATATTAAATAAATAATTAAATTAATAAAAGCAAATATATTCTTATTTTTTAATATTAAAAATATTTTTAAAAAAGATAAATATTGAAATATATCTATCAATTAAATCTATAAAAATATAGAAAAAAATTAATACCAAGTAAGCTTAATATATTATTCATAATATAATATGTATAGATAAATTATTATTACATTTTAACTTTTTTTATAAATTATATTTTTATATCATTTATTTAATAAAAAAACAAACTCGAGAAATATTTCAATATAAAAAATTGTCCATTTGTTTCAAAAAAGTGAAAAATTTTAATAAATTATTCTGTAGTTTTAGAAAAAAAAGTAAATACTAAAATTTTATGCATAATATCAAAAGTTTTATATTTAATAATTAAAGGCTTTGCTAATTAAAGGTTTATAAATGAAAATTATAAAAAGGTAAACAATATTCAAAAGATAAAGATAAATATAGTTATTGCATAAAAATATTAATTACTTATGATATAAAGCTATATACTTTTATATTAATATATAAAAATGTAGCATTAAGTAAACATTCGAAATTATATTTAATATACAAAGAAATCAATATAATTACAGTTAATTAATCAAAAGATTTAATAATCTTATTAAATATTTATAATAATACATTCAGATTATAATGGTTGAAATCTTATGGTATACATTTATTTAAATATTTTATTTTTTATAATTTTATTATTAATTATAATATTTATTATAAAAATTTTTAATTAATTTTTATATATAACATTATAATTATTTTTTTTTTTTCTAAGTATAAAATTTTTATTATTTATTAATATTTATTTTAAATTTAATTCTAATTATATTTATAATATATTATTTTTTATTTTATTTTTTTTAATTTTTTTAATAAATAAGATAAAATGCTAAAATATTTTTTTTTTTAAATATTATTTTCAAGTTTTTTTAAATAGAAGGCAAAATAATGTATTTTTGTCAAAAATTTCAATTTAAACATTATATTGACTTATTTTTGAATTAAAATAAACAAAATATATAGTCATTTTTGCATACTAAATTAATTGATTAATATATGATACTTTCAAAAAATTAATATATATACACTATAAAATTATTTTCATTTGATTTTAATTGATTTAATTATAATAATTATTATTCTAATTATAATATTTTGTTCGACATTTCTTATATTTAAATTAATTTTTATGTTTTAATAAAAAAAAAGTAATATAAGTTTATTTAATAACAATTAAAATATATATTTCATATTTATTTTTAAAAACAAATAAATTAATATTAAAATGGTAAATATAAAATACGTACAAAATTAAATACTAATTTTAAACAGAAAAAGTAATATAAAAAAAGTCATTATTTTAAACTATATATCATAAACGTTTAAAATGCGAGCATTTTAAAAAATATAAATAATTATTTAATATAAATATAATTTAATAAATTTTATAAAATATCAAATAAATAAAATTCATTTGAATTTTTAAGTTATTATAATATTATATAAGATAAATATATATGATTAAAAGGAAAATAAAAAATTAGTATGAGAATATAAATTTAAACATAATATATAAAAAACTTATCATAATTTTTAAAATAGAATGTGTTAGTTAATATTAAAATATAATTAATTTATAAATTTACAAAATTTATATAAATTCAACTATTTGTATAAAAAAAAATTGATATTAAATAAAAAAGAAAAAAAAAACATACATTCTAAATAACTTGGGTACAAAGTTAAAGAAAAAGATGACTGTAAAAATCAAACTCATGAAAATATATAAATAATAAAAAATAATATTCTTGTACATGGCAAAATTCGCTTTAACAATATTTTTCAAAATATTTTTGTTTAATCTAATATATAAAAAAATAATTTTTTATGAGTAATTTTTTAAAAATGACTTTTTTTTACATAAATTTTAATGAAAACTAATTGAAGAAAATAATAAAAATTTAGCTTTTTATTTGATTATCCACATATACAAAAAAATAAAAAATCAATCAATTTTTAATAATATTATTATATTCTATTACATATTTAAAACATTCTTGAACATAATTTTAAAATAGAGCTTATTTATTTTATATAATAAACTAATTTGGGAAATTACTAATTAATACCTATTAATTTTCTTATGTACAAAATTGCATTTTCTACAAAAAAAAAACAAATAAATAAAATAAAATAAACATATAAAATAAATAACATTTAGTAATTCTTTAATTCTATGAATTTCTTCTTAATTATTCAATACAATATAAGTTTGATAATACTCTGAAAAAGAAAAAGAAAACTTAAATTTATAAAATCCTTAATTTTATTTTAAAAAGCTATATTAATTAAACATAATTTCATTTGCGATTTACCCACTTAACCCTAACCCTGACAAAGCAAAAAATGAAATATATTCTTAAAATCTTTACTCAATTTTAATATTTTTAATAATATTTTAAATAAATTAATATAAATATTAAATTTTGAAAATATTTTATTAATTATAAGAAATACTTAAAATAAAAAATTAATTCTATATATTTTAAAAGTACTAATAAAAATCAAAAATATTAAATTAATTAATCTAAAAATCATTAATTAAAACTAAAACAGGGTATTTTTAACTTTATTTAATTTATAAAGGTACACTAAGTACATAATCTTAATTAATTTCTTATAAATTTAATTAATAAGAATGTCCAAAACAATACTATTAAGTACTTTAATTATTACATTTTTCTATACAATCTCCATTTAAATTAATAAAATAACCTTATTAACACTTGACACATTTATCTAAAATACATTAATGACAATTTTATAAATAACAATTATTATTTAAATAAAGAGAATTTATTTAAGTAATTTAATTTAATTTAAAAGTTTAAATGTCTTATTATTTTTAAATAGGGGCATCTTTTTTAATCAAAAAACATTCATTATTACATTCATCTGTAACATAAGAGTTAAAAAATTATTATTTTTAATTTTTTTAAGGAATCAAAAATTTATATTAAATAACTATTTCTGAACATTTGTTTGCTTTCCAAATAGAAGTATATAGGCTTTTCGTTATTTTGTATTTGTTATCTTGTTTATAAAGTTCTTATTGTAATTTTTATTTGAATTATTTTTCATAAAAAAGCTTTTTTTCATAGATTGATGATTACATTTACATGCAAAAATAAGTACTTAATATAATTAAAGTGACAAGAAAAAAAACTATCCATTTTATAGATGTATTTTTAAAATCATAATTATTTAAAGATTCTTTTTTTTGAATAAAAAATTATTCATCTTCATCTTCTTCGTCACTTAAATTATTTTAATTTTTTATTTTATTTTGAAAACTGTTTAAGTACATGTTTTATATCTACAATTCTATATTATTTATATTTTCTTAAAAGTACATATATAATTTAAAAATTAAAAATGTATATATTATAAAAATTTATATATTTAAAAAAAAATAAAACATTTAAATGTATAAATATATATCTAAAAAAAATAAAATAAACATTATGAAAAAAACAAAAAACGTAAAAATTAGAAAATATATATAAATATATATATATATATATATATATATATATATATATATACATACATATATTTTTTTTAAATAAAAAAAAAATTATTAATCATATCAATCTTTCTAAGTTACACCAACTTTTGCAGGTCTTAAGACTCTATCTTATATTTTATAGCCAGTTTAAGCAACAAAAGCTACTGTACCGTTTTCTTTTGTAGGATCTGGAATATTGAAAAGAGCTTCATGATAATTTGGGTCGAATTTTTCACCTTCAGGATTAATTTTAACTACTCCATTTTTTTCTAGTACTTTTTCGAGAATTTTAAATGTTAATTTGGAACCTATATTAATATTTATATATATATAAATATATCAGTTTATATTTTACCTTCATACAAATCTGATTTTTAACCTTCTTAAGCTTTAGAAAGGTTAATGGCTCTTTCTAAATTATCTTAAATATCAAGCATTTCAGTTGCGAATTTAGTTATTGCGAATATTTTGGTTTATTCTTTTTCTTTTTCTAATCTTTTTCGTACTAATTCGGTTTCGTCTTATTATACTTCAATAAAATTTTTTAATTCTTTGACTTTTTCTTACCATTATTATATTTATAAATCTAATTTTTATTTCTATTTATTATGTATTATTATTTTATAAATTTAGAATATATTTTTAATTTAATTTTTTACTTCAAATTTAAGTGTTTCATTTTCTGTATTTAATTTTTATTGTTTTTAAGATAATTCAGTGAACAATTTTTAAACCTTTTTAATGATAATTCATTATTTATTTTTAAAAGTTCTTCAATAGAATTTTAATTTTGTATTTATTCTTCTTCCAATTTCATTCTTTGTTTTCTAATTCTTATTTTTAAGCTTATTCTTGTTTTTATTAAGTATTTTCATCTTTAATTTATAATTTTAAAGTGTCGTTTTCATTTTATGATGAAAATCTTTTAATATAATTATTATAGATTAATATATATATATATATATATATATATATATATATATATATATATATATTATA